GTAAACACGTTTATAAGTCTGGTAAGTTACTAAAGAGAGAATGGTTTTAAACGTAAACACGTTTATAAGTCTGGTAAGTTACTAAAGAGAGAATGGTTTAAACGTAAACACGTTTATAAGTCTTTGCTAAGTGTGGTAAGTTACTGTAAACACGTTTATAAGTCTTTGCTAAGTGTGGTAAGTTACTAAAGAGAGAATGTTTTAAACGTAAACACGTTTATAAGTCTTTGCTAAGTGTGGTAAGTTACTAAAGAGAGAATGTTTTAAACATGTTTCTATTATCAATCTTTGCTAAGTGTGGCATGAGTGTATAAAACAAAGAAAATCATAAAAATTATCTTTCTAACAGCTATATAAATCCACAATATGTACGTACTCCTTAAGTGTAAGAGTGTAAAGTGATAAGGAAACACGTTGGTTCAAAAAATGAATTAAAAGACAAAAATAAGAAACCCTTCAACCCGCGCGCTTTCGAAAGGCCTGTTTTTCTTTCTCAGGGATAAACTGACGAGGAAAGGTTGATTTTTCGAAAGAGCTCGGATTGTAAGGTTTCTAATATTTATTTGTACCTAGTATGTTGTGTTGCTGTTGTTATCTAGGGTAGACATACTTCGTCGATCATACACACGAGGATTCGGGTAGTCGTACCAAGCTAATAATGTGTACACAATTTATGTTTCGACTTTGGAAGACGTACTCCGTGTTTTTACGCATGCTACACACGCACTTAACTGTCTGATGTGTCTGGAAAACATGTTTAGAATATAACTATTAAGTTTTGAGAATTATCCACGAGTACCAACAAAAATGTTTTGTAGGAGGCTGACCTTGGCTTGGGGCCCTTCGCTGTTAACTATGATCGAAACACAGCAGTGGACGTTACAACACCGATCTTCATCGACTACAACACTATCCTGGTAAACTACAAACAAAAGCGACCAAACTTTTACAGTTACCTTCAAGCTTTTGGATGGGAGGTAATTTGATTGTGTGGATTAAGTTGCCATAAAAAGTTTTGTCTTGCTATAAAGACTAAAAAAATCTATCACTCTGAATGAATTTGTGTTATAATTTTCCCTGTATTCAAAGTTAAATTTGAAAAATAATGTTACAGTTCTATGATGGGAATAGTAATTTAGAGTTCTCGTTACGTTTATGATCTAATAATGGGTTTTTTGTTGAGTTAATAACGAAGCCTGATAGTCTGTGTTTGATCCTAAAAAAAGTTCAAAAACTACTTCAAACTAGTATTACCACATTTGTCTTTTCTAATATAGTCAATTATAAAGACTGGACTGGTCATATACTTGTTTCAGTGGTTTCACAGGCTAAACTTAGGCTTAGTTGTTGCCTAACCTATTTGTTACCAAACCTTGCATGTGAAGTGTTTCAGTGGTTATATAGGTTAAACTTAGGCTTAGTTGTTGCCTAACCTATTTGTTACCAAACCTTGCATATGAAGTGTTTCAGTGGTTATATAGGTTAAACTTAGGCTTAGTTGTTGCCTAACCTATTTGTTACCTTCTAGGGAGTGACATAGGGAAGTTGGCGATCTGATATGACCTCCATAGGTTAACTCCAATTCGTTGATTAAAACTAATTAGCATGAATAGGCTTTGGCCGAAAGTGTGAAAAATCTTAATCTACGTGTTTAAGCCTAACTGGGCTTTTCTCAACGGTTTAAAAAACATATATGATGAAAATAATTAAGTTTTTAATATTAATTTCCCACCTTAATTCAACTGTGTGTTTATACAGACCTAATACAAATAGTGGTTCATTACACAATTTAAACTCAACAGTTGATTGCACTAATTAAACACAGCAGTTGATTGCACTAATTAAACACAGCAGTTGATTACGCAATTTAAACTCAACAGTTGAATACAATACTTAAACTCAACAGTTGTTTACACTAAATAAACTCAACAGGTGAATACATTATCTTAGTTTGGTTTTTTGTTTGTTGGAAGTTAAGCACAAAACTACACAATGGGCCATCTGTGCTCTGCCCACCACGGTATTGAAACCCGGTTTTTAGCGTCGTAAATCCGCAGACATACTACTGTGCCGATTATCAAATGTAAAGTTTGGTTGGTCAATCTCTGCAGAAAGACCACCTATCAGATAAAGCAGTTCTAAATACTAAATATGATTTATGTTTGTTTATCATTCAAGAAAAGTTTGTAATGTTTGTGTATTGACATATTTTATTTAGGTTTGGGTGGCAATGTTTGTGTCCTTACTGACCATCTCGGGCGTTGCTTGTGTTGCTGATTACTTGATTCTCGACAAAGTTCCATCGAAAAGAGGAGTTCTTGTTTTTTTCAAGTACATCTGGAGATTTTACGGGAACCTGTTTTACCAGAGTAAACAACTTTTTTCATTAAGTAACCTTACATGAAAAGCAACGTGAAAAAGAGAGTGATTATAATAGTGTAGCAATACAAGGCCATGTAGCCAAGTGTAGCTTTCTTTTAATATACGATACACATGTAAAAAAACAACAAACTTTTTAGTTGGAAAGTAATTAACTTACTTTGACTTTTCTTAACTGTATTTAACGAGATATTTATTTGAAGGTTCCTCGTATACCTTTCATTTCCACCACCGGAGGGTGTTACAAGCGTTTTGGTGGATTACGGTAATCGTGCTTATGCAAAGTTTCAGTGGACATCTGATGGCCACGCTAATGATGGACTCAGGAAATCAGATTGACGATTTAAGTGAGCTGGATAAGTCCAATATTCAACCCGCCGTGGAAATTGGTTCATCTTTACATTCCATGTTCATGGTAGTTGTATAGCCTTAACATAAGACACATGTTGACACTTTAGTTGTGTAATCTCAGCACAAGACACATGTTGACACTTTAGTATAATACACATGTTAACACTTTAGTTGTGTAACCTTAACACAAGACACATGTTGACACTTTAGTTGTGTAATCTCAGCACAAGACACATGTTGACACTTTAGTATAATACACATGTTGACATTTTAGTTGTGTAATCTCAGCACAAGACACATGTTGACACTTTAGTTGTGTAATCTCAGCACAAGACACATGTTGACACTTAACACAAGACACATGTTGACACTTTAGTATAATACACATGTTGACACTTTAGTTGTGTAACCTTAACACAAGACACATGTTGACACTTTAGTTGTGTAATCTCAGCCCAAGACACATGTTGACACTTTAGTATAATACACATGTTGACACTTTAGTTGTGTAGCCTTAACATAAGACACATGTTCACACTTTAGTTGTATAGCTATAACACAGGACACATGTTGACACTTTAGTTGTATAGTCTTAACACAAGACACATGTTGACACTTTAGTTGTATAGCCTTAACACAAGACACATGTTGACACTTTAGTTGTACAGCCTTAGCACAAGATACATGTTGATACTTTAGTATAAAACACATGTGTTGACACTTTAGTTGTAGAGCCTTAACATAAGACACATGTTCACACTTTAGTTGTGAAACCTTAGCACAAAACACTCGTTGACACTTTAGTATAAAACAGATGCTGACACTTTAGTTTTATGGCCTTAACACAAAACACATGTTGACACTTTAATTGTATAGCCTTAACACAAGAGACATGTTGACACTTTAGTATAAAACACGTGTTGGCACTTTAGTTGTATAGCCTTAACTTAAGACACATGTTCACACTTTAGTTGTGTAACCTTAGCACAAGACACATGTTGACACTTTAGTTGTATAGCCTTAGCACAAGACACATGTTGACACTTTTGTTGTATAGCCTTAGCACAAGACACATGTTGACACTTTGTTATATATCCTTAACACAAGACACATGTTGACACTTTAATTGTATAGCTTTAACACAAGACTCATGTTGACACTTTAGTTGTGTTAGAATAGTAACAGGCCATTGTTACTAGTTCATGTTGCTATGATAACAAGTCATTGTTATTATATTGCCATGATAACAGGCTATTGTTGTTAATTCATGTTGCTATTATGAAAACTTAAGTGTTACTAAGTGGTTTATCTAGTTTCACGTTTCTGTGGTATCAAAGCAGCATTACTAGTTTGATGTTTCTGTAGTAACAAAGCATTACTAGTTTGATGTTTTTGTAGTAACAAGACAACTTTACTAGTTTCATTTTCCTATTGTAACAAAGCAGCCTTACTAATTTCATGTTTCTATAGTAACAAAACATTATTAGTTTCACGTTCTTATGGTAACAGAGCAGCATTATTTGTTTCACGTTTCTATGGTAACGAAGTAGCTTTACTAGTTTCACGTTTCTATGTTAATGTTCCAAACAAAAATAATTTTTGGATTTTTTTTTACAAGTCACAAGATTAGCTGGTATATATTCCAGGGTTTAGCCTATATTACACAATACTTTTTTTTTCATTTATAACATATATACAACACTTAGGATCGATTAGACAGTGTTTTTCATTTATTTC